AAACATGGAAGGTATCATGGAGTCTGCTGTGGTCTGGTAGCTCGAGTTGATATGCAACCTTCCCGATCCGCCGTAAAATCTTGAAGGGCCCGTAGAATTTGGGGGCCAGTTTAGGGAAAGCTCTGCGCCTGAGGGAGTGTTGTCAATAGGGTTGGAGCTTCAGCCATACGAACTGTCCGGGTTCAAAGGTTACTTCCCTGTGGTGCTGATCGTAGGCGTTCTTCATGCGTGCTTGAGCTTGCTGTAAGCGTAGGGAGACTTCGGTGAGGAGGGCATCGCGGTCTTGCAGGCCTCGATCCACTTCTTCCAACCGTGTTGAACCTGGTTTGTAAGACAATAGACGGGGAGGGTCCCGACCATAAACAACCCGGAAGGGAGTCATGCCAAGAGAGGAGTGATAAGATGTGTTGTAACAGTATTCGGCCCACGGAAGGTATTCCACCCAACGCCATGGCTGGTCTCCCACAAAACAACGGAGGTACATCTTTATTGTTCGGTTTACCACCTCCGTTTGGCCGTCAGTCTGCGGATGGTAGGTGGAGAAGGCTAGGGCTGTTCCCTATAGTCGAAATAGCTCCTTCCAGAAGGTGCTAGTAAAAACCGGGTCCCTGTCACTGACGATGGATTCGGGTAGCCCATGTAGTAGGAAAATATGGGTGAAGAAGGCATGGGCGACTGAGACCGTGCTATATGGGTGGGATAAGGGAAGGAAATGAGCATACTTGGAAAAACGGTCCACCACCACGAATAAGACCGATTTCCCACCAACCTTGGGTAGGCCCTCAATGAAACCATGGAAATATTGGCCCAGATCTGAGTTGGGAGTGAAAGTGGTTGGAGAAGGCCTGCTGGGTGCAAGTTTTTCCACTTTTGTTGTTGGCACATAGAGCAACTCTGAATGAAGTTTCGCACCGAAGCCTTCATGCCCTGCCAGTGGAAATCGGCGTGGATGCGGTGCAATGTTTTCTGGACACCTTCATGCGTGGAGTTGTGTATGCTGGAGATGACGAAGGGGATTAAGGGACAGTCGGCTGGAAGATATATCCGTCCCTTGTAGAGTGCTAACCCGTCTTGCATGGACCAGTTTGGGTTGGTCGTGCCGGATTGTATCTTCTGGACCAGATCATTCCACTCTGGTGATTGTGGCAGTGTGTTCCGGATGTCTTCCAGCAGGGTGGCTCGGGGCTGGGAGATCGCATGGAGGAGCATACTGCCTTCTTCTGCTCGGCGAGACAAGGCATTTGCTGCACGGTTCAAGGTTCCCACCTTGTAGTCTACCCAAAAATCGAAACCCAGTAGTTTGCTGATCCAATGCTGTTGCGGCGAGGTGGTAAGCCGTTGTTCCAACAGATATTTGAGGCTGTAGTGGTCCGTCTTGACGATGAAGGACCTCCCCCATAAGTATGGCCTCCAGTGCTGTACTGCCTTAGCCAGCCCAATCAGTTCCCGTTCGTAGGCGGGTAATTTAAGGTGGCGGTCAGCCAGTTTGCGGCTGAAGAAGGCGACCGGATGTCCTTGCTGCTGTAGTATGGCGCCGATGTCGGTGCCGGATGCATCACATTTGACTGTGAACTCGAGCTCAAAGTTTGGCAACTGTAGAACCGGAGTGGAGGAGAGGGCTTCTCTTAAACTTGCAAAGGCTGCATCGGCTGTATGATCCCAGTGGAAGGCATTCTTCTTGAGCAGATTGGTTAGTGGTGCCGCCAAGAGTCTGTAATTTTGTACGAACTTGCGGTAGTAACCCGTCAACCCTAGGAATCCGCGGAGAGCTTTGGCAGATTGCGGCCTGGGCCATTCCTTGATCGCCTAAATCTTGGACTCATCCACAGTGACCTCTTGCCCGTTGATCACATGTCCTAAGTAAAGGACCCGACGTTCCCCAAAGGAGCATTTGGATCGCTTAAGGAAGAGTTGGTGTTGTCGCAGGAGTTCAAAAACGGTCCGTAGATGCTGCACATGTTCTACCCACGACTTGCTATAGACTAGGATGTCGTCGAAGAATACCAAGACAAATCTGCGGAGGTGGGAGTGGAATACCTCGTTCATCAGGGACTGGAACGTGGAAGGAGCGTTGCTGAGGCCGAATGGCATAACTAGGAATTCAAAATGGCCATGGTGTGTTCTGAAGGCCGTTTTCTCTATATCTTCGGGAGTCATCTGGACCTTGAAGTAACCTGACCGGAGGTCTAATTTTGAGAAGTATTAGGCGCCATGGAGTTCGCCCAGCATCTCATCTACGATGGGGATAGGAAATTTATTCTTGACTGTTCTGCCGTTAAGCTCTCTGTAGTCCACACAAAACCTCCAAGTCCCGTCCTGCTTGGGTACCAACAAAATCGGAGAGGAAAAAGGGGAGCAGCTGGGACGGATGATCCCTTGCTGTAACATATCCGCACACTGCCTCTCTATTTCATCCTTTTGTCGGTGTGGGTAGCGGTAGGGTCGGATGACGACGGGATCCGATCCGGCTATCAGAGGGATCTGATGATCGCAGGCTCTGGAAGGTGGAAGCCCCTTGGGTTCTTGGAATACTGCTGAAAAATCCGTGAGGAGCCTTTCCATATCTGTGGTGCGCAAGTTCTCTCCTTGAAGTGTATGCAACTGCGTCTTTGTTCTTATCCTGGTCCCCTGCCATGTAACTGGGTTTTCGTCCAGCTGGAATGTCATTGTCAGGGCGCTGAAATCCCATAGGATTGGCCCTGGAGTGATCAGCCATTTGACTCCCAGGACGATGTCGAATTCATCCAAGGAGAGTACGAATAAATCAGCAAGGAAAGATTCTGATCCGACCTGAATCTTGGTGTCCTTGCAGATTCCGGGGCTGTGAACTCTTTCCCCGTTTGCCACGGCTACCTGTAACTGCGGCCTGATTTCCATCGGTAGTTCTAACCGGCGGGCAGCCTGTTCACTGACAAAGTTGTGGGTGCTGCCGGAGTCTACGAGAATGCGCACTGGTTTCCCTGCTACCAGCGCCCTTAGTTGCATGGTTTGTGAGGTTTTGATCCCCGTGATTGCATGGAGGGAGATCTCGGGGTCTGATGTTGCAGGTTCCTCCTCGTCCTCTTCGGGTTCGTCTACCAGAAGACAGAATAACTTCTTGCACCTGTGCTCGGAGGAGTACAGATCGTCGCAGTTGAAACACTGCCCTCTTGCGTGCCGTTCTGCCATCTCGGCTCGGGATAGTCGTCTAATAGGGGGTGTTGTCCTGCTACTCCCTATACTTGATGCCGATTTGGAAGGATTACCGGTAGGAAGCCTCGGTTCCTTGCTGGCGGTTGAAGAAGGAGGCACTCCTGCTGCCTTCGGAGGAGCCCAGGTTGTTGTTGGCCGACCTACACTGAGGGTTCCGTGGGTGAGCTGCAGTTTCCGTTCGAAGGCGCGTGCGAGGTTCATTGCTGTGACCAGGTTGGGAGGGTGTTGCATCTCCACGTCCACTCTTAGGGGTTCTGCTAGCCCCGCAGTGAACATATCGACTTGCTGATTTGTGCGAACCGAGGTTGCTTTGGCGAGAAGGGTTTGGAATTGGCGTTGGTATTCTGCCACGGTTCCAGTTTGCTTGAGGTTGATTAACTCGCTCAGCTGGTTGCTTGTCAACGGGGGTCCAAACTTGAGGAGGCAATAGGATTTAAATTGCCCCCAACTGAGCCCGGGTTCTTCCTGCTCCAGACGGTAGAACCAGAGCTGTGCCTCTTCCGATAGGTGGAAGGCGGCCAGACTGACCTTGTCTTTGTCATCAGTGCGCTGATTACGGAAGAACTGGTCGCAGCGATACAACCATCCTAACGGGTCTCTGGTGCCGTTGTAAGACGGAAATTCCAGCTGGCTATACTTGGGAATAATTGCGGCTGTTGGTGCAACGATCTGCTGTTCGCTGGATGTCTCTACCCAGTCCGGACGGCGACTGTTGGTGGTGGCGGTTCCCTTAGAACTTCTTTCTTTGTTGGAGAGGAACACTTCCAGCAGGCGTCGCAGTTCCCGGACATCATCCTTGACTTCACGAACCTCCATGCTGGTCTCTGCGAGCCTATGTTCCAGTTCGTGGACCCTGGATGACAATGGCTCCTGTTCCCCCATGACGGTAGTCTCTGATACCAGAATGTTATGGGCCCGGGCGTAGGATCTCGTCACGGGTCGGTCCACGGGGAGAACCTCTTGCTTCCCCTTGCGCCTTCCCTTGCGTGCAGACCCTATTGTGGCAACCGAATGGGTGATTTGTCCAAGAGACCACCCGAACTCTCCTCACTCTTCTCTTAACTGGAAAACTGAATGCTTTATTCCCAAATCACAGCTCCTTAAATAGGAGATTACAAGAGGAGACTCCTTATTCCATTTGACTAAACTAGGACAGTCCAACTTTAAATCAAACTCCTACTCCTAACAGACTTCTAACAGAACTTAGCTCCTATCTCTAATAGATAAGTAAGAACAGAACTGGAATAAGTAAACTATTGGCAAGCTGGCAAGATAAACTATTGGCGAGCAGATGAGCTGATGTGGCAAGATAAGTTGCTGTGTGGGCCCCCCTCACTGCTGCTGCCGGCGGCGGTATGTCCTTCCCACGAATGCATCCATAACATCACACCCTTCCTGGGCAACGAGCTTGTCCTCAAGCTCGAGATCTGGATAGGCGTTGTATAAGACATGATGAAATTAGGAGAAGAGACATCAGTGCAGCCCGATATTTTTAGATCCCAGAGTAGGGATTGTTTTCTTTAGCTGTTTGGTTTTCTGCTGATCTGTGGACATAAATTAATAATGCTTGGGGATTAAAGGAAGTTGTCAGCCTTGAGAAAATATTGTCTTTGATCTGAATTTTATTTTGGGATTAGTAAATTCCATAGTGAGAGCATGATTGACTAACTTCTCATAGTTCTTTGACGGGATGTTTCATATGTTTGTGAATGCTATGTGCTTATATACCACTATAATAGATGCCTATCTATTTGAATTAAGTACTTGTATCAATTTTCTAAGGCTTGTATTTGTGGTTTCCTTATCAGGTGCGTGAGTTGGCTGAAAAAGAGCCTGAAAATGGTGTCTTCAGAATGCTTCGTAGTGATGTTACACGGTTCCTAACAACAATTCTTATTGGCACAACGTACTCACTTTTACTTTCTGTCTTGACATATTCTGTTAATGCAGTCTTCTATGTTTTCAGCTCAATCTTGATTTCTTATTCTAGCTTTTATTTTTCCTACTCAGTGTGGTCAATATTGGAGCAACTGCATTAGTCACAGAGGCAGCAACAGCAATTTTTGGTGAAGCTGGTGTCAGTGCAGCAACTGGAGTTATGACTGTATGTCACAATGTTTGTTTCTGATCAGTCAAAACCAAAGATAGAAAAGTGAAAAAGTTTATCTTACCAAAAGGCAAAATAGATTGAAGTTCTAGTTTATACTTTTTATGCCTAAATGGGCATGTTTCCTACTTCCAAATCTGAATATCTTCCGAAACTGAGCACTTGTCCTCCCAAGGCTAGCCCTCTTGATTGGGTCTTGGGCTTTTCTTTGATCCTCTGTTTTTTGTCAATCCTAAGTTTACAGTTCTGGAGAAAGTAGGCATAAGCATTAGTTAATTCATATCATGCGTGACTGGTTGTGACACCTTCTTTCCTTTGTGACAGTTCTTGCTTTTGAATTTTCAAAGTATTCACAGGATCTCCCGTTGGGCAGCTTGCCACAACTAGTTCACCCCTTTTTGTAGGGTCTTTTTTATAGTGTCCTATCCCTCTGTGATAAAAATGATGTTATAACAACCATTTTGCATGGAATTAGGTATAGAATATTAATGCTGTTTGTAAGGTATATCTTTAAATGACTAAAGCAAGAAAACAATATTGCTGTACTCTATCGGAACAATTTTTTTTTCATGCCCAAAAAGAAAAGGTTAAACAAATTTCAACTAACGAGCAGGTGACTTTTAGGGTGTGACCTGTCTGATACACACTAAACCTGAATATCAGATTGGGCTTGGGTTGAGGCCTTAGAGGAGAACCAATCTTAGTCTGACAATTTGTTTCATATACTTGTATTAAAAACTGTTAATATTTGGTGTATTTCGGGCCACAGGGGTACTGTGGTCTTTTAATCTTTTATTATTTGTTTTGTTGTGTCACCCTACTATATAATAGAATGCTGGCGCTGCCAGCCAAGAATTTTGCCTCTAGAATCTCAGTTTCTCTCTTCCTCTCTTCTCCTCTCTCTTCTCTCTTCTCTCTTATCTCTTACTCTTCCTTCTTCTTTTCTGATTTTTCTTTATTTCTATCAAGAAAACATGGTATCAGAGCCGCTAATACATTGCTGTCCTATACCAGAACCTTTTTTGTGTGGTTGAGACTTCTGGTTTGTAGCTGGAAAGTGATTCTTTGGTTGGTACACCATGTCCTTTGAGGATACAGCTACCTTGGGTTTGTCTTTCAGCCATGGTGGACTAAGTGGGAGTGTGGACATGACCTTCCCCATGGCTTTTATCCCTCTAAATGGCGTCAATTATCTAGACTGGTCGAGAGGAATTAAACTATACATTACCGTAAGGGGAAGATAGGGTATATCAATTGGAGAGCTAAAGAATCAAGATCTGGGAGTGCTGAACACGACAAATGGAACCAAGAAACTAGTATGGTGATGTTGTGGTTGCTTGTATCTATGCTCCCACAGGTGAGGAGAGACTTTATGTGGGCCGAGATGGCTGTTGAAATTTGGGAACAAGCAAAAACCACCTATTTAGGACAGAGACACTATGCAAAAATTTATCAGTTCCAAGCTGCATCTACTACATGTAAACAAGGAGAGGGAAGTCTCTAAGTGTATTACTCAGATTTGACCTCAATTTGGAAGGAGATGGATCACTACTAGAATATGAATTGGAAACGTGAAGATGATGCCAAAGCTTACAAACTCTAGTTTCCCAACAGAGGGTGTTTGCTTTTCTTTTGGGGCTGAACTCTATGTAAGAATCCATTAAGGTGCAACTCCTTGGAAATAAAGACCTATCTTTTAGTTCAAGAAGTTTATGCTTTAGTGTAATTAGAAGAAAGTAGAAGAAATGTGATGAGTACTTCTAAGGGGGAGCCAACTACTTTGATAGCTAGGGGTGGTGCTAATGTGAATGGTAGTAACTCCTTTAAGAAGGGTGATTCCTAGAAAAGAGTGGAGGACAAGGACAAACTTTGGTGTACTCACTATCAACAGTCTAGGCACACTAGAGAGACTTGTTAGGATCTTCATGGGAAGCCAAAGTGGGCTTAGGAGTTGAGCAAAAAATATCTGATCAAAATAAGAAGCCAGTCCAACAAAGCCAAAAGAAGTATAATTCAGCAAATGTGGCAACTCAAGAGACTTCCCCCACCGTATTTCAGGATCATCCTTCTATTTCTGATCCAAAGGAAGAGATTATCAACTCTTTTCATGATCATTTGGAACTGTATGATAGGACACTTTGTTAGGTGGACTTTGGTCCTACTCCATCTACCTCCTTTGCATCTATATTAGGTAACTCTGCCACTGCCTTCCATGTGTCATCTCACACATTTAAGTCTCCTTGGATCATTGACTTTGGAGCCTCAAATCACATGATGGGTAAGTCCAACTTGTTTTAGGTGTATAACCTCCTCTTTAGGAGAGACAAGGTGAGACTAGTTGATGGGTTGTTCTCTACCATTGCTGGTCAAGGAATCATCTCCCTTTTGTTTGGTCTCACCCTTTCTAATGTGCTACATGTTCATAAATTATCTATTAATTTACTTTCTATTAGCAGTATATACTCATTCCTTAAATTGTTTAGTAACCTTTTTCCCTTCTTGTGTTTTTTAGGATTCAACCTCTGGGAGGACAATTGGTATAGGTAATATGGTGGATGGTCTCTACGTGTTGGAGAATAAAGCTGGTCTTGCTGCTTTAGAGTCTACAAGTCATTATAGTAAGAGTTAGGCCTATTTATGGCATAGTCATCTTGGCATCTATCCTTTGAGTAAATGAGTTGTAGTGTAACGTGTCCGTTGAGCAATCATTATAGAAACTATTTTCCTTTGAGAAATAAAAGATCTGATTTTCCTTTTCATATTATCTACTTTGATGTTTGGGGCCCTATTACTCTACCTTTTGAAACGGGTTATAAATATTTTATCACATTGATTGATGACTATTCTCGATACACTTGGCTTTGTCCAATGTGATCTAGAGATGTGCAAAATTTTCAACACATGGTATTTACCCAATTTCATACTGAGATCCACATCTTCTAGTTTGACAATGTGAAAGAATATTTTCATAGCGATCTCACAGAATTTTTTTGCCTCATGCAGTTCTCTTCATTGAAGTTCTTGTGCTAAAACACCTCAATAGAATAGTGTTGTTGAAAGAAAGAACTGACACCTTGAAATTGTTAGTGACCTGTTATTGCATTTGCATGTTCCCAAATATTTTTGGCATTTGTTTTGAATTTTTTGACATTTTTTTTATTTTTAGCATTTTTTTTATATTTTTTTGCCTTGTTTCAAAAAGGTGCGCGCCTTGCCTTGCACGTTACACCTTAGGTGCAAATTGACCTCTGTGCCTTTTTTGCGCCTTGCGCTTTTAAAATACTGATACTATGTGTCTTGCAAGTATTATGTCTCCATGGATGTGTCCTTTTTTGAGAATGAACCCTTCTTCCTTGTTTCTCCTCGAGGGGAGAGTAGGGTTGAGGAGAAACATGCTCAAGTTCAGCTTCCTCCTCTTTCTGATCCTCCTTCGTTCCGTGTTTTCTTTTGTTGTAGTAAGGGCCAATAGATTTCAATAGTCGTGGAACAACATGAAGCTATGCTGCCAATACTACTAGACTCTCTAGTGGCAGATCCTTCTCAATCGGGTATTCTTGTTCCTACTATTGATATGTTTGACCCCATTGATGTAGATACTTTTTCTATTGATAATTTGGATATTCTTATTGTTAAGAGCAAGGGTTTTAGGTTTTGAATTATTAAACATCCTATCTCTCACTTTGCTTCCTATGATCATGTTTCACCCTCTTTTTGTGCTTTTTTTACTTCCATTGACAGCGTTTCTATTCCTAAGAATGTGGTAGAGGCCTTATTTATACTTGAATGGAAAAATGTGATGAAGGAAGAAATTAATGCCTTACATAAAAATGACACTTGGGAGTTGGTAGATCTTCCTGGAGGAAAATAACTAGTGGGATGTAAGTGGGTGTTCATAGTCAAACATAGGCTGATGGTACAATGGAAAGGTACAGAGCTAGATTGGTAGCAAAAGGGTTTACACAAGTGTATGGGGTGGACTATGCAGAGACGAGATTTTTGCACCTGTAGCCAAGATGAACTCCATTAGAGTCCTCCTTTCAGTGGCAACTAATTTTGACTGGGACCTTCATCACCTAGACATTAAAAATGCTTTCTTGAATAGTGATTTAGAAGAAGTGTACATGGTTCAACCTTCAGGCTTTGTGCCAAAGGTAGTGAGCATAAGGTATGCGGGTTGAAGAAATCCTTGTATGGGTTGAAGTAGTCACTACGGGCTTGGTTCAATAGGTTCTATTTAGTCGTACAACAAATGGGGTTTAAACAATGTCAGTTAGATCATACATTGTTTAGTGTGAGTTTTTGCTTTCATCCTTAAAGAGGAGGTCGCATCTCGTGCCTCTTCTTAGGTTGTTTGTATGCTCATTTTTTCTTTATTAATGATAATTTCATTCATTTATCAAAAAAAGGTGAAGGAAAAATTGCTGCCCTGATTGTGTATGTTGATGACATAGTAGTTATTGGTGATTGGACAACAAAATACAAAAATGGAAAGAGTTCTTAGCCACACAATTCGAGGTGAAAGATCTAGGTCCTTTGCACTATTTCCTTGGAATTGAGTTGCCCGCTCTCAAAAGGGGATATTCATTTCTTAAAGGAAATGTGTCCTAGATCTATTGGAGGGTACTGGGAAGTTACGAGTGAAGTCAATTGATTCATCAATTGATCCAAATCACATGTTGGGTGATAGTTAGGGAGAACCTATAAAAGATGTGAGGCAATTTCAGAGGCTTATAGGCGGTTTTTTATATTTGTCCATGACCAGACCCCGACATTGCTTATGCCATGGATGTCCTTAGTCAATTTATGCATAATCCCAAGATTACACATTTTGAGGCTGCCAAGAGGATTCTTAGGTACCTCAAGAAGTTTCCAAGTGCTGGTTTGTTGTTCCAGAAACATGAGCATTTGAAAGTTGAAGTGTACATAGGTGCTGATTGGGTAGGGGCAGTAGATGACAGAAAGTCTACCAATGGGTACTGTGTGAGAGGAAATTTAGTCACATGGAGAAATAAAAAACAAAGTGTGGTGGCTAGATCTAGTGCGGAAGCAGAGCATAGAGCAATGTCCCATGGAGTTGCTGAGATTATGTGGATAAAGAACTTGTTAGGTGAACTGGGGTTCACAGTTGATAGTTCCTTATCACTTTATTGTGACAACAAGGCTGCTATCAACATTGCAGCCAACCTAATCCTTCATGATAGAACTAAACACACTGAAGTAGACAAGCATTTCATCGGGGAGAAACTCACGAGTGGAGAAGTGTGTACTCCCTATGCTAGCTCTGAAGAATAACTTGTAGATATCTTCATAAAGGGCCTTCATCATTTGCGGTACAATGACTTGTGTGACAAATTGGGCATGATTGACATCTATGTCCCAACTTGAGGGGGGTGTTAAAACAGTTAATATTTGATGTATTATGGGCCACAGGGGTGCTGTGGTCTTTTTACCTTTTATTATTGTTTTTTTTTTTGGTGTCACCCCACTGTATAATAGAAAGCTGGCACTGCCAGCAAAGATTTTTGCCTCTTCAATCTCAGTTTCTCTCATTCTCTCTTCTCCTCTCTCTTCTCTCTTACTCTTCCTTCTTTTCTGATTTTTCTTTATTTCTATCAAGAAAATGTGCATACATGAAAACACATACATGTGCAGGTAACTATGTTTCAAGCATTTGAAAGGTGTAGGTCTAGTGGTTAGAGGTTTATAGCTTTGTCTTAGATGTAGGAGGATCTGAGCCCAACTCTTGTCTTTTATGATTTTTACCTTAAGTTTTTATCTATTTCTATGATATAGATATCAAGGTTTACCCTGACCTATCCTGACCCACCAGCCCATGACCTAAACCATGTTTGGTTAGGATTAAGAACATTAAAGTTGGGTTCGATGATGATTAAAATCTTAGTTTAAGTGGGCTAAGCCTATGGGTTGACTGTCTTTTTGTCTCATGTAAATGGCAACACGAAAGAAGCCATGCTTTGTTTCCTAGGGTAAGTCAACTAAACCAAGTATCTTCCATAATGATTTCAGGTTGCTGTTTTGCTCCTCACGGAAATTACTCCAAAAAGTATAGCAGTTCACCATGCTACAGAGGTTGCTAGGTTTGTGGTAAGTTTAAATTTTCCACCTTTTTCCTGGAGTTCAGATAAATATGAGTGATTAGCACATTTTATGCTAATTGATATGGTCTTCTTTTTTTGAGAGCAATGGTTTGTACTGGGGAGCTTCTTCCTTTGGATATTCTTAGTCTCTGTTTATTTATAAAAAGTTTGGTCTTTCCTCTGTGGAAGGCTTTGTATTTGGCACATTTTGGTGCTTTTGATTGATCTTTGTAATCCTTTGATTTGTTGACTCAACAAAGCTTAGTGATTTTGTTAATGATAACAAAGTGGTCTTCTTTTTTTCCACCAATTCTTCTTTATGGTGGTTGCTTCATGTACTTTGATGAGGTTGTTACCATTTTTTTGACAACTGCATGCACTCTCTCTAGGCCAGGCCAGTGGCATGGCTTTCCTTGGTACTGTATCCTGTGGGAAGAGTTGTGACTTTTCTATCAATGGGAATGCTTAAAATGCTTGGTTTGAAAGGAAGAAGGTATGTTTTATCTTCTTTTATATGGTTTTCATTGGTTGTTGTTTGAATTTTCCATTTGATTGGTCAGTACTTTTGATAGTAAACAGAAGGCTGATTGTATCAGAACAACGGAAACACCTTGCTACCCAAATGATCAAATAGAAGGGGAAGAAATAATGTTATAATTATATAATCCTATTACACACACATATATATGTATGTATGTATGCATTTATATATATGTATATATATGTATATATATATGTATGTATGTATAATATATATATATATATACATATATATTTTTTTGATAAATGAGAGTAGTTTTATTAATTCAAAAAATAGTAGTACATTCAGCCTAGGAAGAGGCACGAGGTGTTACCTCCCCCTAGGACTGAGTCATAAACACTAAACAAACACAAGCCTGAAACACAGTTACAAAGTG